TATATATATATATATATATATTACATCAATTTTATTTTAACCATCACCCACAAGATAAAATTCTAGGTGATCAGACTGAAGGAGTAAAACAAGATTTGTTCTTAGAGATAGTGTCTCATATGCTTTGGTGTCAGACATTGAACATATCAGTATAGTGGGGCATTTTTTCTCTAAGAATAATGTTTATCATGCTTCAACCCAAGTTTCTCTAAACTTTTTTCTTGTTTTATTTTAATCTTTGTTACTTTAATTTATCATTTATTAATATTGATCTTGATATAATTCATTGATAGATAATACATTATAAATTATTCATTATATTGTAGGAGATCTCCAAAATTAAAAATGAATGATAATGCATAGAGTTGTTGAGTTGTAAAGTTGTGTATACATTGCTTAAGTTGTTGAGTTGTATATGATGAGTTGTCTAGTTAGAAGTTGAGTTGTTTCTTGTGTTGAATTTGAGTTGTCTTGTGTTATGTTGATAATATAGTATTAAGTTGAAAGTTGTAAGATGATTCATGTTTTAAATTTTGATTGTTGGATAATTGTGTTTGCATTGAAGTTGTTCCATGTTGTAGAGTTGATGTAGTTAGCTTTTCAACTTTATATTATATGTTGTTTTTTGTTCTATAAGCTTACCCTTATTTTTCATGTGTTTGACTTCAATGGTCATACTTAGTAAGAGAACAGTAAAAATTAGGTGGAAGGTGAGCATGGAAGTTGTTGATGGTGGTTTATGTTGAAGTTCTTTTGATATAGTTTTTGTATGGTTTGTTGGACCATCAATTGAATTTTATGTTTACAAATCTTTTTGAGTTGTGCATATTGTATATATTTAGGATTAAGTTATACAAAAATTTTGTATTTTTAAAATTAGGGGAGTAAATGTCTCAATTATAAAATTGGGGAACCAAAATTGTTTATTAATAGAAATAAGAAACCAAAAATATAATTTAGTCAAGATATATTAAGTAAGTAAAAGAAAAACCAAACTATGTAGATAAAAGAAATAATAAATTTGTTAGATAAATTAATATTCAATTTGTTCTCTCTATTTTTTAAATGTTTAATTTGATCATTTAATTTTTATTCTCAATAAACATTTTTTATGGTTAGGGTATCCTTTAATTGAAAGCTAAGTATTACTTCCTCAAGGTACTCGAATTCATTTAAAGGACAAATATTTTCCTATAAACTATAGGTTAAACTTTGACTACATGCTTAAGGAAAAATGTTAGAGTAGGGTTTCTTTTCTTATCGTTCTTCTTGTAAGTAAGTTGGTTTTCTTGTAAGTGGAGTTCAAATTAAAAGGAAAGTTATACTATTACTTACAATTTGCACAAATGCTTTTTTTTTTCTTTAATGAAAAGTGAATGGTAATTATTTCCGAAATCTTATTCTGATTTTGAAAGTGAACTGTGTGAAAAATTTGCAAAAATTATACTTTTTCCCTTTTAATTTTTGTGGTTAAAGTCGGTATATAATGCATTTCATTGTCATTTCCTGGAATTCATAATAACTGATGAGCAGGAAGTTGTTGCTGTGACCACTGCAATACAGGAAGAGATATTTTTGGAGATGGGTGTTGGTATGTTTCTTTTGTTGTGATATATTAGTTGTTTGTACTTCGTAGCATTGATGCCTCATTTTTCATATCATTAACCTGTGCCATTATTAAAATCTCTGCTGTAGGCTGCAACAAAGCAATGTCATGGATGCTATTATTGGATATGTATGTGTGTTTGACAATGCATCCCTGATTGAAAGTTTAATTTTCCCTAGATACAAAAGCCATCTAAAGCATTATTTGGTATTTACACTTTAGCAATAAAAGAGAATCAAACACAATGGATTAAATTGTGTTGGACTCTTGATGGTCAAATATGATGTGATTCTTAGTCTTGGTCCATGAGATGAAAATGTGTTGACACTAGATAGCACGATGGGTGATACTTCTATGTGAACATGGTAGACATGTCGACTTGGAATAGTTTAGGAATTTATTTTTGCCAAAACTAGTGTTGGGAGTATGGCTTGGATGTTGGACTTTATTCTTGGTTTGTCCTTGATGAAACTTCAAGGTTGTATTTTGTTGTTCCTAGGCCCTTGGTTCACTTCTTTCTGGAAAATCAGTGTTTTCTTCTCCCAAATGAAGCCTTACAATATAGCAATTTTTACATTTGATAGGAATGAACTTTCTTTCAACTTTTATTTTTCTTTTACGTTTCTTTTCCTACCATTTTAGTTTAGGATAGTTGGGGTTGTGCATTTTGATACATGGAATAATTGTACATACAATCTGTTTTAATATATAACCAAACATGATAGTATTTTACTTTGAAGCATTGTTATTAATATAATGTAATTTATACAACTGACCCAAGATTTGGTATCTCATGCCTGGGAAAAGTCAGTACTGTATATGAGAATGACCGAGAGTTGGTGTTTCAGTTTTATAAATTCCTTTTCGTAGTAAGTTCTTTGTTTCTTCTTGGTTTCTCTTGTATGTAACTTACTTTTACCTATTATTATTTTCTATTCAATTGTTAGAACAATTCGTTTAGAAAATGACCATTCCATGCCTATGTCTTTCTTAGCTTTGAGTTGTAATGACTTTCTAACAACTGAAATAATTGAAAATTTGAAACCCATCTATTAAGGTGTACACTAGGACTATGTTACAGAGATTCAGGGAATCAGCTCCCCAAGTTAGCACAAGTTGCAAGGGGAGTAAATATTAGGAGACATGGATCACATGATGGAGAATGAGAAAAACTGTGCAGAGAGGGAACATAATAGGCAGGAACTTTGTTAGGGAAGGAATTGGGCAGGAAGGTGCATGCCTCCCAAATAGCCTGGGTTATCTCTATTTTCTTTAGTTGTGAGGAAATGAGTTCTATGCCATTTTCTGCTGTTACTTGTCTAAGGCACTGATATCACGTTGATATCAGATACAGATACATAATTTTAGTGATAATACAAACTATACATTTATTACAGTACCATTCAGCCTTTTTTGATCCAATAGTAGTAGGAGGGTTTTCATAAATTGGCTTGTGTATGACTAATTTTATCTTATAGAAAAACTTATTTCATTTTTTCTTCATATTTTTCCCTCCTAAAAGTGTTTATAAAAAAGTTTATCCTGGTAGACCCTTAGTTCCCGATGATTGCAGTTACTTAATGTGACATGAGTTTGTTGGTGATGAATGTATTTTGCTATGGTTTAACATGTAAGATCATGTTAGCTGGTCCTTCTCAAGTGGATGCATCCTCTTTACAAATTATCACACCTGGTGTCAAATATAGCCTTGAAGTGATTATCTCCTCAAAAGTTACTTATTGGCGTGCTGTAATCACAATAGTCGAGAATACTTGCATTGACCAAGCTCGAAACCATTTCATTAGGACCAATGATTCTACTTTGAATATTCATTTTGGTGAGGTTATGGTTGCAATGCTCATATTTTGACTATTGAACTAAAAGGTAGTCTAAGGGCACTCATATATACATTCAAATGGTTTGTCTTAGATAGAAGACCGGTGAAGGTGGATTTTTGGACATCTGTTCCAACTTATGAGTTGAAGGTTAATGGTATCCCAAGAACAGTTGTTGCAACAAGCAAACCAGGGGACCTGGTAGTTTTCTTGGACTTTAGCATTCCTATAAGAAACTCAACTGAGCAAGTTATGAATGCACTACATGTTAACTCTGGCGTTTTAACTCCTCTTAATTGTAGAAGCAACGGGACCCGCAGATTTCGTTTTAATGTAAGAGAGAATTTGTTGTCTGATACACTTCTGCTGTTATCTTACTATAAACATTAGGAATCAATAAGTACTTATAGAAGAAGAAAATAAGAAAGTGAAATAAAATAAACTTGTGTTAAGTTAGTTTATACAGAAGTCAAAATCAATTTTTGAAGAAACTAAATGAAATAACTTCTAAAATTAGTTTATATATAAGTTAATTGTAATTTAATGAAAAAGTGTAATTTATTTGAGAAAATAAACAATACACTAATCGTGTAAAATAGTTTTACATTATTAAATTATTATGTATGTATGATTAGATTTGTTAACTTCTATGCTCAAAAGTCATGCTAATAGGTGATTTGTGATTCATCAATATTGTAGAAGTGTTTTATGTTATTGGTATATAATCATTAAACTCAATTTATTTTACTTTTTTATTTTCTTTTTCTATAAGTGTTGGTTAAGAAGTGTATTTAAACAAGACATACCAAAATTAGAATAAGAATTGAATTCTGACAACTACATTACTCTCTATTAATTGTTTCATTTTGTAGCTCAAGAACATCTCAAGACCTGATATTATCAGAATTGAATTACAAGCCAGGCACTCCTGTCTCTCCTGTTGCTCCTATCACATTCCTTTATGGTATGTTATCATCTGTGCTTATGATATTAAAATTCATTTCTCTTGGCAGTTATAATTTTAAACCAATTTCTGAAATTTTGTGTAGATCCCGTGAAATCCAAGGTAATACTGAAGACCAGCTCCCTCACCGAGACAAGGGATTTCAACATCAACATAATTGCTGAGTTCACAAAGCCAGTTTTTGGTACTGGCTTTGGGGCCTCTATGATAGATAAGCATAATATTCACTACAAATAGTCTTTACACAATGGCAGGTGTAGTAAACTAACAATAAGCATAATATTCACTACAAATAGTCTTTACACAATGGCTCAACACATAAAGTTGAGGTATTAGTATTATTTCATTATGATTTAAGTAATGTAAGAATTCCTAACTTGGTTCCTTGTAGGTTAAAGGAACTATCAAGAGCTTTAGACTCTCTAAGCAGTAACAAAGGAGGCCAGTTACCATTCCTGCAGGGAAGGTAACTGATACTTCAGAAAATGAAAATTTGGCATCTAACCAGCTTGATATCAAGTATTGTATGAATATCTCCTTTTTTCCTTCCTTCGTTTCTTATAATAACTGGTTATTATATAACAGTTTCTTTTTAATTATTCAAAATCAATGCTAATTGTTAATCTCAGCATCAACAGCATTTTTTGTTGACACTGTGCACTTATATATAAATAATGCCATCGATTATATAACTGGACGAAACTGATAAAATCACTATTATTTAATACTATCTTTGGTCTTTTTAATAGGAAACAAACATGGATTTTTTGGCCATTGTGAGACTCTTTTACAAACTTTTTATGTAAATAGGATTGTTTTGAAATATATCACTATAGAAATATATATATATATA